TTTCCGACGGGGGAGAGGGGGTGGGGAATGTCGTATCTGGCCTTGAGGATTTATCGTGTGGCATTGGCTAGATGGACGACAAAATCAGCATTTCAACGTCCCTCGCAACTTTCTCGAGCAATGTAATATCACTCAACTATCTCTTCCTTAGTTCTTGTAAATTAATCACATCAAATTCCATGTGCCTATCGTCTAGAAAAACGCGTAAAAGCTGTTTGTTAAATGTTTTGACTTTTCATGAGCAAAACTTAACGGCTTTCTGGTTACGCCGGAAAATGCAGATTCAGCCCTTTGTGCTTATCCAAGCCATATCAGGAGCTATCATTTATCAGTATATATACTATTATAAGAGTAAACGTGAAGCTCAGCGTAAATCAACCGGCGACTGTAGAGCATTAGGTACTCGACTTCATTGAATATCATGGAGGCACTGAATATCTACTAGGCAACGCAGTGTTTTTATTCTCCCAGAAAGTTCTGTCATCAATGCACCACTCCTGAAGGGGTCGAAAGCTTGGTATCTAAGGAGTGGAATTATGTGTAACCCTTTCAGATGGTAGAACCCCATACAACTGAAGCAAGCACCTCACGTATTATACAATTCTTACATTATAAAATACACCATTATATTCTAGAACTCAAAAAAATGGTAAACTAACTTTCAACCTCAACTTTGCCGAAAATCAGTTTACTACAAATCTCTCGCCTTTTCACCAATATCTTTTATGCCTTTCTTTCTTGAGTAGAGGTAAATATGAACTTTTTTGAATGAGACTTATGCGTATTGCGATGAATCATAACCAACACTGTAATGATGATTGGCTTATAATTAACGTAATTAAATCTATGAAAAAACTTTCTCGTCTTGTTTCAGATTGCGCAAACTATGATTTGCCGCATCAGGATGTCGATCAGTACAGGATATTTGTGGAGAAATGTAGCGGTAGTAAAGAACTTGGATTTCGAAATCGTGCCGTATTTCATGCCCGCTTTTTGCAAGAAGCCGAATTCAACAAACTTTTTGAGAAAGTGAGAACAACGAATTTCGAAATACGTATTGAAGACACATCATTCAAAAGAATTGGGATGCCACTCCTAACACGGGCAAAACGTCCTAAAAGTAAACGTAAGTACGACAGTCCAGCATTTTTTCTATTCTGAATAATAAACTTCAATCGAATGTTTGTTATAGGCAATCGACTATTTGTCATACGATATAATAATTATTTGAAAAAAGTGATTATTCCTAAATTTGCATTCGATGTTCAAGAAACTTTTCATGTTGAAATTGATGGTAACCCGACTTTGGATACTGATGTCGTGGAACGTTTTAACGCGAACTGTGTGTTAGGAATGGGAAAGAAATGCGATGCTTTTCTAGCCGAGCGTAAATTGACTTCTGTTTTCTGAATTAAAACTCCAATATTTAGAGTTGAGAACCCCCTCCTCCAAATTATGCCATACCCAAAATGCAGTAGAAAAAAACGCAGTCAGCACTTTTCTCCTTCTTTAT